ATTTTTGTTTTCAACTTTATGTAACATCCTATACGATGAGAAACTTGAAAATGACCGTATTAATAGGTCGAAATATCGAATTATAATTTTAATGTTTTAATTTTAATTGTTTAATTTTTATTATTTTTATTATTTGATTAAGATTTCTTATTAAAATTCTTAACATGATAGCCGCATTGGTTTTAAAATTTTTAATTATTGTCATTTTATTAAAACAAGCAGCAGAGTTCGAATCTCTGCAGAAACACCTTTTCCGTTTTCTTTTCTTCCTTCAGTGTTTTCATTCTATATATATATATATGTATATATACCCGCTGCAACTACTACTGAAGCGGATTTGTCCTGTAGCTAGCTACATCCGCTAAATTTTACTCTTTTAGCTAGCTGCAGTCAAAGGAGAAACGGGCGCTTCTTTAGCACGAGCAGCTAGCTTATTCCTTATAAAATTTCATGCTTAGATAAGCTTCTATTCTGTAGGGGGGGTTATTATGAAAACAAAATCAAATCGCCCTCGTATGTTTGAAGAATTTTATTTCTATGTGCTAAATAGCTTCTTACCTGAAAATACATGGGATCACCGTGATTGGCTTGTTGATTGAATGCATCGTTATTTGCTCGTGATAGACTGAGTTGTTTATCAATACAAGATGTCGTATGATTGTTTTGCATAGTGTCATTTTTTAGTACTGTCTCTGAAATAATAATATCGTTTTGTTCTGATAAGCCTTTATTTGTATCTTTTGTATTTGATGTTGAAGTAAATGCGTTGTTGTCGGTTGCTAATAAACTTGCTTTAGTTCGGAAAATAGACTGAGAATCCAATAGTTCTGCTGATTCCACAAGCGAGAAATTTGAACATCTTTTTTCTTTTGTAATACCATGGCATTTAGAATAACAATTTCCTGATATGTTTTCAGCATTAGCGATGTGAAATTGCAAATAAAAGTCATCATCCTTAACAATCGGTTGCGACTGATGAAAAATAGTATCGCCTTCATTGCACATCGAAATACTAGCAATATTCAATTCAGGCGATGACTTGCCTTCAAACTGGTGCACATTTTTTTCCGTGCGCCGACGTTTAAGTTTGTATCTTTGGAATAAATCTGTGGTCTCGTGTAGAAAGTCCATAGGGCACACAATCTAACGTGATGAGAAATAAACATCGATCGCTTAGTTGAACGAGTTAATCTTAGAAATACACAGAAGCATTAGGTATGCGTACAAGAATTACTAACATACCAGCTGTTAAACACTCTTCAAATCCTCGAATAGATTCTATAGTCGTTTTTCTACATATGAATATGTCAAAAATGCATGGTTTAATTAAAGATAGCTCGTTTTTTTAAGTATTTTAGAAGCTGATTTTGCAATTTAGTCACGTGATATACGAAGGAACGAGAGTCATAATTTCCCCACTTGAGTCATTGACACTAGTAAATATGGAAATTGTTTTGTCATCAGGATAGACGACCGAATAACAGTCATACATAAAGAATCTTTCAAAAAGTTGCTATAACAGTATACTATCTTCACGGTAAAAAAACAAGCGTCCAAAAAAGCGCCTACACGAAAAGTATACTAAAAAAAGCGTCGACAAAACCGAGACCGCAAAAAATTCGTTCAAGCATAGTATTTAACTGCATACTGCATAGATGACTCGTTCCACTGCACCACCTTATTTCAGAAACGACTGATTTCCTGCGATAGTGCATTGGTCCAACAGATCAGGCGTGCTTCCAAAGTATAGTGCGTTCAAAACTGAGTAAAATATTATTTAGAAATCTTTTTAAACTTTGTTTTTCCATCTAACAAAAAAACATACGAAAAAATTCGTTCAGAAAAAAAAACGTCTAGCAAAAAAAGCATACCAGGATGTGACGAGAAAACCGCCCACTAAAAAGCGTCAACTTTTGGACGCTGTTTCTTTTATCGTGTTGTTACAGAATAGAAGATACCAAGAAAACTGTTGGACTCGTTAAAGGAAAAAGTACGCAATAAATTCTATCATTGAAAGAGAAAATAGATTTGAATTTTTGATATAATATTTTTTATTAAAGTCAACATTATTCTTCCTCTGGACAATAATTTTTACCTGAGAAAATTGTTATCTCAACATTTACTAGATCCATTCCTATGAATTTCAGAATTTGAACTACTATATACTAAAAACAATGTATTGTTAAAATAGAAATTGCTCTATTCTTCTACTATAAAAAATTCTACATACCGTAAAATATTTCCAATGTTTTTTTTCACTGAATCTCTGTTTTAGCTGACTGCCTTTTTGAAAAAAACCTTTTACTCTTCGAAAACCGCTTCTTTTTTTACTTTTTACGCTTTATTTCTTAAGGTTATCCAAACTATCTAAAGATTGGCGATACTTAAAGTGTGTTTGGATGACCTAAAAATTTTTCGATGAAAAAATTTTCTTTGTTAAAAGTACTTGAGTAATACATACATTACTCGATAAAGTATTGCATAGTGATCACGTCAGTCTCAATTTTAAAATAATTTCTATATTAACCCTTCTTTCAGCTAATAAAATCTTTGAAAATATTTCTTTTTTTTTCTTTTTTGTGATGTTGAACATAAAAGGACAGCTTTCAACAGCACAATTTTCTCGAAATAGGTGAAAATATCTTCGCGTCTTTTTCTTCCGAAAAGAAATATTCTATTATTAAAATAAGTATTTTTTTCACTTGAAACTGTCTATTTTAAATAAAAAAGCCACTTTAAAAAGTCTAGTGTTGTGGGCAAGCAGAATATTTCTCGAAAACAGGATGGTATCAAAATAAGTTGATTGTCAAATAAAAGTATTTGTAGGACTTTATTAAAATCAATTTTGATATAAAATAGGTCACTGAGAGACACACAGTATGAAAAAAAAAAGCTTTTCCATCTTACACCCGATTTTTATAAAACTTTCCACAAATATTGATCACCTAAAAGTGTGATGATGAAATTTTTTCTACCTCGCTATCTCTTACTATTTGGAAGTTTTCCAGAGTTCAAGGTCAAAAAATCCTCCTTACAGGATGTGACAGTTTTTTGCTTCAAGCAAAAGATTTCGGATTGATTTTATTTTAAAACTAGACATCTAACTACGTGTGATGGTGGGATCAAAATTTCTTAATTACGTTTTTATTGGTTTTCTAGAGATCCAACGACCTTAACAAAAAAACCAAAACTTTTTGAGTTTTCCAGAGATCCTTGATCTACTAAACAACCAAAGCCTAATTCAAATATCGTCTCTCATCAGCTGATGTAGCATTGTTCGCTATTTCGGTTAAAAAGTAAAGCCTGTCAGCGTTGCTTCTGTAAAGCAAAAATGTGTAAACTGCCAAGTGAACTTCGTGCACCTAATAAGAATATATATAATGGTAAACGTATTTTTAAGATGTTATAAACTCCAAATTAAAATATTGTAAACAAAATGAGATTTTAAACTGCTTCAACTCGTACCTAAACTTTAAATTTTAAACTTCCATTTCCTGCGTAAATCAGACATGTCTTTGGAAGTTTTCACAAAAACGTCTCTATACGATGGACCATTATTAAAAAAGGTTTCACATACTGGGCATGTCTGAAAAAAAAGCTTGTTTTGAGAAAATGCAAAACAAGTTTTTTGACATATTTTATCAATATAATATTTGTACTTGACATAAAATCTAGATATATTATGTATGAATCGAAAGTGTTTATCGAGCTGCGTCCCATCTCGATGAATACTTCAGATTCATATACAATATGTTTATGTGTCATGTCAAATACAAATATTACATTGATAAAACATGTTTTTCCTAGAATGAACATCCATAAAATCTTTCAAAGAACATCACTACAAGGCTAAATCATATAAAAAATAGACACTTCAGGTTAGCACTCTGCTTGCTTATCTCAAAATCGACTTTTTTTTTTACCCGTAATTGTACTGAGGGAGGTCCTTAATAGAAAGATTTTTATTTTTTTAAAATCTGCTTTCAAAATATTCATCTTATTTCACAGTATTGAACCTTCAAAGTTTAGAGTAAATGTTTCATAATGTATGAGATAAATAATTGCACATCGCACGAAATGAAAGTAAAATATATCTCAAGTGTCCGACTTTTTTTGTCTGAAATTCGACAATTGAGATAAAAATTTGCACTAATTTCACACCTTTTTCTTTCTTCATCAGCATTACTAAACTTGATGGTAATGTTGTCTCGAGTGTTTGTATGTGGCATCTATACCTTTTTTTGTCTTCAAACCATTAAAAAAAGAATCAGATTTTATTTCTTGAGAGAAAAGAGTATTATTATTTTAAAAGCATGTCCGTTAGAATCGATAATTAAAAGAATTGATTCATACGGCATACAATACCGTCCTGCTGTCACACGATTCATACACGTTGTTACTTTTTAACTGTTGACATGTGAGTATATTTTATAGTTTGAGTGAATATAAATGAAAATCTGACCTTCAACGTTTTCGATCAAAAATATCGCTTTAAGTTTATTAATGGATGCTGCATAAAAGTAAAATATTCACAAGTATTGCTTTTTCAAATAACCTTTACTACTATTTCAATTGTTTCAATTACTATTTTAACATTATGAAACATTTAATCGAAATTTTGAAGGTCCAGTACTATGAAATAAGATGAATATTTTGAAAGCTTCTATTAAGGTCCTCTCCCAGTACAATTTTGAGTAAAAAAAACCGATTTTGAGATTAGTATACAGAGAGATAGCCTGAAGTGTCTACTTTTAGAACTATCCCTAGTGAAAGTATCCATACTTATGAGTACGACTTTACTCATAATTTGTCCATGAGTACTCATATGAGTTCTACTAAGAACTCTGAGTATTTTTACGCAGTAAGTACTCAGTTACTATATGAATACTCAGAAAATATTCATTCACCATTTTATTTTGCAAAAATGAAACTGTATAAAGAACGTAGCATATCACCGACAAAAAATTAAAGTTCATTTAGAGTTAAAGCAAAGTGCTTTTTCGTATTCAGCACACTTGATAACCTGAAAAATTTTCTATTTTTAGCGAGGGGTACCGTCAAAAAGTTAAGAAAAAATTTTTAAAATTGTTTAATTTTACCATGGGCATTTTTCTGCATCAATTTGTTTGAAAATTTTTCTTAACTTTTTGACGGTACTCCTCGCTAAAAATAGAAAATTTTCCAGGTTATCAAGTGTGCTGAATACGAAAAAGCACTTTGCTTTAACTCTTTTTAAACTTTAATTTTTTTTATTGGTGATATGGAATTTAGTAAAGAAACATAGAATATTTATATGATATTTTTCTCGTTGGCCTCTGTGCATATATTCAGAGATGCAATAGACTTGTAGTCCAACTCTGGCTGCCTGAGGTGATTTCAGTATTGTAATGTTGTAGGCTACAACACTAAACCTTTTAAAATGATTTTTTTTATTTAAGATATACAATTTCAAGTGGAAAAATGTTTATTTTAGTAACAGAATATTTCATTGCTGGAGAAAAAAGACACGAAGACATTTTTACCTATTTCGAGAAAATTATGCTGTTGAAGGAAATATTTTCGACAGCTGACATTCAAAAGAAATAGCACAGGAACCTACCAATATCGAATGAGCAGACGAGTGAGTTTGTGCAAAATCATGAAGTGTTTTCAAGTTAACTGATATCCGCGATCATCTACAAGCGACCGTAATAGTGAAATAATTCATTTTAAGATTAAAATAGCGTTTGATTAAAATACGCAGTTAGATAAATTGGGTACTAATTATAGTTGAAATTACTTTGTCTTCGCAATGAACTAGTACATTACGAAGACAAAGTAACTTCAACTATAATAAGGAGCTAATTCATATCAGAGAAGACAAATGGAGCCATTATTACACGAGTACACACGCTGCATAGAGCAATAGTTCTATCCTCGAATCAACGTTCAACAACGATAACAGGCGAAAGTAAATTATATATATTTAATTCAACAGCCAAGCCAAAACCTTGGTTATTGCGTATGAAGAAGGGGTATCATGCACTGAATATCCAAGATTAGTTTTCATTATTGATGTTACATATGGCGAAGGAGATGAGATAACAATTTTTAATCTATCGGATTTTTCGTAGTTAAGTCCCATTATACATCGCATCGATGAGTTACAAAATGCCGGCACACTAGGCACACATGGTGAACAAGCCATACAGCAGTTATCTGTTAAACAATCACCAATACATTCATACGGCAAATGCACATTTACTATTCATTGGACGAGAGCCAACACATGCATACAGCAATCCTGAACACAATAAAGGTGGAACAACAAGTGATGGACCAATGGCCTTTAGAAGTTTCGATTGGCAAAATAATGGTGGCGGCAGACGTGAGCAAACTAGAGATCATTTACATGCAATTGCAACAGATTATACGCATATAACAATTAGCAACTCTGGTATTCATTCGCTTAAATTTGACGAACCAGGTGCCATCGAAACTAATGAACAGGTTGAAATAATGCAGCCTTATGAAACAGTTAACTATATTATTTAACCAGAGTAACAACATTTACCACGTATCTCATTTCAACAGCAATTAAGTTTTTCACATTAATAAAATAATTTTCTTCGCTGTAATTTACTATTACCCAAATCTGTTTGACAACATAAAAGATTTTATATAAACTTGACGTTCTTTTTATATGTTTATACACTCAAACAAAATCACTTCTCAACAAAATTGCTTCAACTTTTCAGAATAAACTTAGTTTTCCCTGCTGCACAGTTTAGAAGGGTTAAAAGTTCTTTTCATACTAAGATTTCCCTGAAAATCTTCAGAAGTCTTCTGGAAAACCTTTCAAGGTACCATTGAGTTTTCTGCACTTTTGTCCGTGTGATGTAATGAAACCCTTCAAACTAAGTTTATTTTGAAAATCTGAAGCAATTTTGTTGAGAACTGAAGGCGTGATAAGTTTCTAATTTAGTATGGTCACAGTGGAAAAATCGTATTTTCTGAAAAAATTGGTCTTTTGCAGTTTCCGTAATCCGGACAACAAACCAAACATTGCCACATTAATCATTGTGTCTGATAGTCTAAGTGCCACATGCTTTTAAGGTTCTTAGAGCTCAGGTTTTGCCGATAGGTAGGTCGTCGAAGATTGCCTGTAGCGTATGGATCGTGATAGATGGAGCTCTGGGACCTGTGACATTGCACAGTGGGCATTTTTCTATAGAGCAGGCTGACATATGCTGTAGGAGTGGTATGAAAGCCTATAAACACGTTCTTCTATAGGTTTTCCAATATGCTCTTTCTAATGATGAGATTTTTAGTACTCAAAAGTACTTTCTTGTGGGTTTTCTGGAGACCGGATCTCTGGAAAACCCATAAAAAATATTTTTTGCATTTCCAGAACCTCACTATTCGAAAGATCATATTCGAAAACCTATAAAAAATGTATTTTTATAGACTTGTGTACTATTGCTAAAATAAATATCCAAATTCCTAAGCAAAATTTGCTGCGGACAAGCGTTCAAGTCTATAATTCAATTTGATCGAAAATATTTCTGCAGAAAAATTAAAAAGGTATAGATCATTCGATGCAGTTTTTCACGATGATTCCGAATATGGCATTATTTATACGAAAAAGTGCTTTGGTGAGAGAGAAAAATGTGAAATACGCGAAAACCCCTTGGGATTTTGGAAAATCCATAAAACCTCCTTGGAAAATATGCGAGATTTTGCGATTTTAGAATACATAGAGTAGCGTTTGAGGAACATTCTGATGTGTTTGAATGTTATTTTCGCGTGGGGCTAACGAGGGCGACCCGACTATACTGGAGTACTGTTACTACGGACTGACGTGATGGAGAACATGTCGCTCTTACTTATTGAATTCGGTGCCGAAATAGAAATATTTTGTTATCAATAGATAGCTGAAGACGTGCTGGTTCTGAATATCTGCTTTGAAATCGCGTACCATAATTGAGTAAGCAAAGAATCTTTATTTCGTATGAAGTAACGATATCCGTAATCGGTTTTGTGTACCGTGATTTCTCGTCGTAGCAACCATTTTCAAAATAGACATTTATATATCATTCGATAGCCCTTTGAAAGGGCTACATTTTCCACTATTTGTATTTGAATTAGAAGCAACTTCGATTTTTCACCTAATTTCCGCCTGGATGCCTACTGTGCATTGTAACGACGGAAATCTCTTCTATATAACAGATCAATTTTGAATCTAACTCACTATGCAAAGTCTACGAACGGCGAGCTGGGACTTTTTCCTTCGAAAGGTACACCACGGTAGACCTGTTCTAAAAGCTTTGTTATTTCATAGATCTGTGTGCTCCAGTGTCTAGTTTAAAAAACTAAAACCCGGAGGACTCTAGCTCTTGTCGTTCAGAAGTTATTAAAAAAGCACCGAAATTCGTTATTCATTGAAACAGATAGTAGTTGTCATCTGGAGTACTAGTTGAAAAGGGGACTTTTAACTAGGTGCATCTGCATGTGCAACCAAAGGGGTAGACACATTAAAAATTAATCAAAGAAAACGGTCGATAATTAACCGTTAACAGCTATTAATGCTGTAAAATCGGCCATTACATGATGCTATTAACTGCCTATTTTCGGACAGTTTTCAGCCTGTTAAAAAATATCATTTTAAGGCATTAGATGTAAAAATGGTCATTTAATGACTATTTCATTAGCTACCAACTGGCATTTAATAGACAATTAATTGCAACGTTTCTGACATGCTGGGAAGTAAATGATTCAATAAGTTTTGTACGTTATAATTTTGAACGCACAGAAGACGATCAAGGATGTAGACAAATAGAAGCGCGTTAATATAAAACGAAAACTGCCTATATTGCAGCAGATTTGGATATGTCCAAGCATAAAAAACAACAACTCTAGTATCATCCGATTCATCTAGATTACTGGATTTTTACTCGATTGTAATTATTTGGTAAAAAACAGTAGAAATCTAGTAATCGAACAATTGCTCGGTTTCTCCTTCGTTGTAACTATCGATTTAACTATTGCTAAAGGGGTGGACACATTAAACATATAATAGAAACAACGCCATATTGCGATCATCTTTTGGTGTCTCTCTTTCTGACTCTCTCTTCTGTGCACAGCAAATAAATCATCCATTTCTTTCGTAAGGGAGCATTTCAAAATGTATGCCGATCGCTCTGCCGTTCTGCCGCAGTGAAATTCTCATTTATTTTATTTTGTTTTATTTCAGTTGCTTTGATTGTACTGTGGGTACATATATACATCGGCATGTATATTCATCATATCACCGATAAAAAAAATTAAAGTTTGTTTAGAGTTAAAGAAAAGTCTTAAGGGCCCCCCTCCCCTCTAAAAATTTTTTTTCCCAGAACACTCAATCTTACTGAAATTTTTATTGAATATGTATCTGATCATTGATAGTTCTCAGTAAAAATTTAAGCTCATAATATTGAGTTTTTCGCGAGTTATTGTAACATCAAGGATCAAAAAGTAGGTGTCCGTGTGTCAAAGATTTTGTTTTCAATTTTAACGATACGGACATCGGGATGGTGCCAAAATGTAGAGAAGACCTGCCCCTACAACCTAACAAAGTCGGATTTTTGAGAAAAAAACATTAATTTTTTTAAACAGTTTTTTCGAAAAACCTAGATTAATTTTTTAGAAAACTCGAGTTTTTTGTAAACAAATAAATTGAAAACAAAAATTCCGGCTTTGTTAGGTTGTAGCGCTGATATTTACCTTCATTTT